GGGAGGCGTCGACCCTGGGCGGACTCGAAGCTTAGAGTCTGGGAACAAGATCGATTCTTTGAGTCCTCATTTGGACTCGAAAGAATCGATCCCAGAGTCGATCTTGCCCTGGCCTAATCTTTACTGACTGCTGACATTCATCATTCAACACCTGGACCGCTCGAGTGTTCCCTCCCCCCAGATACGCACACTGCACACACAGTCACCCATGTGCTGGCCGCCCATCCTATCCCGACTCATGCGTGTGTCAACCAATGGGTGTGTTGCTATGAATGAAGGCCGCTGATTGGTGGCATAATAAAGGCTACAATAATGTTTCATGATGCAGATGCCATGGATGGTATCCAGGAATAGATAAAGTTTGTTGCGAGAGAAAAATGAGGGAAGCCACGTCAGCAAGGACTGTTCACCCTACAAGCGACTTCGTTGAATCTGAGCTTGTTCATTTATATGTATAATTTGTTGAAACCGAGTTATTTTTATTGATTTTAATGAATAAAAACAAAGAAATTGGGAACCCATGTCCTTTGATTAAATCTGAGTTGTGCTGTTGAGGCTAAAGAGGTGAGCAGAGTAAGCCTGAATCTCCGTTAAGACTTCTCTGTTTACTAGCAATGCCCACCAAGCGCATTTTGTTCTGCCGATTTTTGGCCCCCGCCGCGGGTGTTTCGTGGGACGAACTAAAGCAAAGGTTGTTGTCTTCAACTCGCTCTCACGCCGCTTCTCGTGAATGGATATGAATGAAACTTGGCAGCCAATCAGAAAAGAGGTCAATCTCATAGTATGCAGTTTGACAACATTGTACCCATCCTAGAAGTAGTCGAAAACGTTTGCGAAAGTGGTTGATATGGTGCGCTTTGAAGATTTTTCGGAGCTGTGAGTTGTCACACTGACAGATACGTTGTACACCATTTTTCTTTATTCCCTTAAAATTTCATGCTTCTGTGTTTAGCGGTTTTGGCGTAATCTTTAAAAATGTGGGAGTAACTAAAGGAAAAAGCGGCATTGCCATTTGCGCGTGCTGGGTGAACGGCGGGCGGCTGGGAATTTTCCACTGAGTGACGTCATCAGCCATCGGTCGCCTCGGGCGCTACGAACGAGGCACCGCTTGTGAATCGGAAAGGGGGGGAAGGATACTTAAAAACTAAACGAGGGCCTTGATAACTTGCATTCTTGTTGCATTTTAGTCACAATACAATAGATGTAGTCACTTTTATTTGCTTGATTGCATGACAGAAGAATAGAAACAGAAAAGCAAACATCTTGAGAAGTGGTGTGGCATTGTGTTTGCGTTATGAAAGCCTATTCCCCCCTCTGGGGAAAGCACACACTTGGACTGGTCCTGTGTGCTCTGTTTGGAAAAGTGAGGCATTAAGATTGTTATTAAAGAGTACGGTACTTATTTAGTCCAGTCTGGGAAGATAGTCCCGTTTATACATTGTAACATCGTTCACGCGTGCGTGCGTGAGTGCGCGCGCGTGCATGTGTGTGTGCGTGAGAGAGAGAGAGAGAGAAGGGGGGGGGGGGGGTGTAAATATGTTACATTTAGTATGAATTGTAGCCTACACATGCGAAATATTCCCATGACTTGTAAACTATATTGTCTAAATGCATCTTAATCTACCACACCTTAGGACACTGTCCAACAATGGATATACACAGAGACGATCTTATTTTCTATAACAAAGTATGCATGCTTTTACTTTTACTAGTACAGAACTGGATTTATTAGACTAATAAATCCAGCTCTCTACTTACATTTTTGTGCCAAATTGATCCAAAGTATTGCTTGGCAAGGAGGAACCTTTTATGTTGCCAAGTTTCATTCAAATATCATGACTTTGGGAGAAGACATGACTGATAATCTTTGTAAATCTGTAAAGAACGCCTCTTTTTTACCTGTTAATGTCTTTACAACTCAAAAAGTATGATAGATATTAAAAATCTGACAGCATGACTTGATTCTGCATCAAAAACTGTACTAGACTGCCAAGTTTCATTTACATACTCTAAGAAATAGGCGGGCTATGACAAATATTGTCTCAAAACGCACCGAAAACCGCCACATTTTTACCTATGAACGTCTTCATAACTCAAAAAGTAGGATAGCTATGAAAAATCTGAAAGCAGGACTAGATTCTGCGCAAGAAAATGTACTGGGTTGCCAAGTTTCATTTAAATACTCAGAGAAATGAGCGAGTTATGACGAATATTGTCTCAAAACTCACCAAAGAACGTCCCATGTTTTGGGTTTTTTTCATTATATAAAAGTGTACCAAAAATTAATTGATTAAAAAATCCGTAACTTTTTTGTTTATTGGTGGATTTCAAAAATTCAAAAAGTTCCATGCTCTGTGGAGATAGAGCTACAAAATGCACCTATTTGCAAACACTTTCTGGCAAAAAAAGGTTTTTCGTGGTCATTGCTATGTTGACATCCACCCCTTGGCGCTCATATGACCTCATTACGCAGTAAAACCTTATTAAAACAAACAAAACAAAAATGAATCTGAGTTAGTTGAGTTCGAGTTCCACTGTATCATTGTCTTTGTTTTGGCACTGTAAGTGTTACTGTGTGTGCCCTACTACTACTTCTAAATTACTACTTGCATAGTTTCTGACCCTAATCATTACATGAGGATCTAAATTATTTTTTTAACCAAGTGTAATGTGACCTGATTTGACAGACACTCCTACAGAATGAAGAAAATTTTTGGGTTGGAGATTTAAAGGAGGGTATTTTTATCCACGATCACACTATTTACAGCTCTGAAGAACGTGTGTAAATTTCCAAAGTTTTTGTTTGTTGTTGTTGCCATTGTGTTTTACACCTTTATCGACAGAATATTAAGATTATGTAGGAGGCGAGGTGCTTCGACTCTGCCTGAGAGGGGTACAACATCCCTGTTGACAAACGACAAACAATTTTACAAAGATAGCTTACTTGGCGAAGATTCTCCCCATTCAGGAATCAAGTTCACATTTTCTACCTATGTGACGGTGAAATACCTAACCACTACACCGCATACACCGGTCCAAGTGGTTTGAATAGTACAGTAACATCCTACTGTTTGTAAAGTATGAAAAATTACCTGTGATAACAGGTGAATTGTTTGAAATATTTCCGTAACTTGGATGATGAACTGATTCAGTGATCAGAGTGGTGACTTTTAATGTGCTGCTTTAGAAAATGTGGTTTACTTTTTAACTTTCGGATATTGTAGAGAACTTAAAGTTTGCTCTGCCTCTACCCTGAATTTATTGGCAGAAGTCTACCTGAAACTGTAATTAAAAACTTTTGGTTGGAAAGGATGATGTACAGTCTTTTCGAACCCTTTTGTCATGGAACATCATTACAAAACAACAGATCCACCCTTCAGCTCAATGGACCCCATACAGTGCAACGTGGTTTAAATATTACGAGGCCATGCAGTACTTCTCACTGGAGTGTGAAGGATAAAGGGTAGTAAAAAAAATAGACAGGTGCGAAAGTGAGATACCTGACTGAAACTTAATTTAATAACTTAACAACTTAATAACAGTCAGACATTTTGGGTTTATACTATACACTTTCAATAAGGAAGGAACACTATCATGCCTTTACAAAATATACAAGCAGAAAATTGCTTGAAAGAAACATGTACTGAAATTGGTTGTAATGGTTTTTCGCAGGCATGAACAAACTGACTGTGTCTTGCCTTTTGCAATATTGATTCTACCTGCCTGTATAATTTCTTACACACTTAACTCTGTATCAGTGTGACAAACTTAACTCTGTATCAGTGTGACAAACTTAACTCTGTATCAGTGTGACAAACTTAACTCTGTATCAGTGTGACAAACTTAGCTCTGTATCAGTGTGACAAACTTAACTCTGTATCAGTGTGACAAACTTAACTCTGTATCAGTGTGACAAACTTAGCTCTGTATCAGTGTGACAAACTTAACTCTGTATCAGTGTGACAAACTTAGCTCTGTATCAGTGTGACAAACTTAGCTCTGTATCAGTGTGACAAACTTAACTCTGTATCAGTGTGACTAACTTAACTCTGTATCAGTGTGACAAACTTAACTCTGTATCAGCGTGACAAACTTAACTCTGTATCAGTGTGACAAACTTAACTCTATCAGTGTGATTACAATGCATTTTTTATGTGTTGGTTGTCTCTTTTTAGGTGGCTGTTCTTCTATGGACTGGATTCTTATGGAGAAGTTGAGGTGCTGACTATAAGAGCTCATCAATATGAGTAAGTACTGTACTTTTGATGGTCAGCGTATGATTTTGACAATTTTATATTGTGGGAAATTGAACTACCCTCCTCTTCCTTGCTTTTTATCCAATGGAAGTGCACCCTCCTCTTTCCCCCTCGCCACTCCCCTTCCCCCCCCCCCTCTAGTAAATTATGGCAACTCTTTTTTTTTTCTGGTAGGTACTCACAGAGTGCATAATGCCTGTTTTGTATTTTCAATCTTTTCACACCTATACGGACGTGTGTACCAAGGGCACCACTGGTTGGTCCTCCTTCTTTCCTGATAGTTTTTCTGGTTGTCTTTCTTTTTGTGCACCAAACTAAATGACTGTTATTGTATCAATTTGGTTTTCTTCTCTACACACCCCAAACAAACAGGGAGGCTCTTGTGGCCTAGAGGTTAAGGTGCTCGCCTCTCACTCAAGAGTCCCGGGAAAAATTTTCTTCTCTAAAATTGCTTCATTTCACCTCCTGTCCTGCTATCTAGCAATGGTCTGTCATCTGCTTTCGTCTTATTTCTCTGCCCCCACCCCCTCTCCTCCTTTGCCCCCTCCTCTGGGCCCGTGACTCTTTCTGCCAGCTTTCTTCTGCTACTTTATGGCTCCTCCTTACTGCTGTCTTTCAGCCACACCCCTCATCTTCTTGTAGGAAAGATCTACATCTAGCCTTCTCAGAGAAAGGCGAAAAGTCTCGGAGGTCTCATGTGCAAGTTGCGCACGTTGAAGATTCCTTGGTGGTCTAAAATCGATAAGAGTAGGCATCGGCCGCCTCCCAGGCGAAATTCAAAATTTCCTACCAACTGAAAATGTTAAATGTGTCTTGTGACCTTATGCAGTTGCGAGCGCCATAAAACTTACGAAAAAACAAAACAAAACCCCAAACATCTGTTCAATCTCATTTTTTTCACCTCATCAGTTTAATCCTGTTCCCACTGAAACCCAATTTAAAAAATCATGGTTTTTATCCTCGTGTTACTATGTTACCCCTCTTATCTTGCGCAGGTGGTTGGAGGGTGCCTCTGGAAGGTCTTACTTTTCCTTCTTTCTGTTGTTTCTGTTTGCAGGGATGTAAATCTTCCGGCTATATATATATATACTAGAGATTATTTGTTGTAATATAGAGAGAAAGAAACAATTAAGTCTTAGTCTCACTGTACATGTATTTTTTTTTTCAGTCAGTGCGCGTGTGCCATATATTTTCCGGCTTTTTTTTTTCGAAACCTGTTTACATCCCTGTTTGTCCTGCTTTTCCTCCGCTCTAAATGACCATTATTGCGTTGATTGAAATACCTCTTTTCACTGGAACTGGTAGTTTAGCCTGTGACATTTAGTGCTGTGCCTCACAGGAATATGAGGATAGTTGGAGGATGCCACTGGCAGTTCTACTTATTTTTTTCTACCTGGTGTTGGTTCTGTGTTGCTTTTTGAATTAAGGTGGTGGGGGTCGCCTGGTGTCAGAGGCAGAATTAGCGAGAAAATGGCCGCCAAAGTTTGGTGATTTGATTTCCCAAGCTTGAATGTCCTTGAAAACTAACTTAACCTTTTTTTTTTTGCATTTGGTCAACGTTTTTCAGTAAAATCCACATAAATAAATGGACATCAAAGATGCTGAGCCAAAAAAAGAACTTTTGAAGAAAAAAATGGCTGGTTCTTTGATTTAATTATTTTGACAAGTGCTTGATTCCACCACGATGTCTCACACATGTCTCACTCATAACGTGTGTGAGTTTGTGTGACTGAATAGCGATGAACATGTCTGGCTTGGTGGGGGGCTTTTTGTAATGTAGGCCTCTCATGTTATTTCATTTTCTTCTTTCCAGGTTTCATACACCCACGATCTGATAAATAAGATCTCAGAGCTCTCGTGTACTTTGCAGACATCTTGTCTGTTGAAAGTCAAAGAAGAACAGGCTGCGCTATTTAAAGCAGAAGGAGCTTTGGTAAGTTTTGTCATAAATATTAGATTTATTATTATTTTATTGAGGTACATATTATATATGAAATACAGTAACAAATATCAACTGTTGCTCATATTCATATGTCATATGGCTACTCTAAAGAATCCTGTTAGTGAGGGGTCACTTGTCATTTCCGAGGCCTTCAGAAAGTCTTGTCATCTATAAAAGAGATACTTTGTTTCAAAATCTGGGAACTGGATACAATAAGGCAATGCACACTACTCGCTGTTGTCAAAATGCAAGTTGCACCACTGAATGGTATCTGTGATGCCATATCAAACTTGAATGAACGTTTCCGAGGAATGCTTAAAGGAAGAAATGCATGGTGTCTTAGAATTTTTTTATATAGGAGAAAAGAATCCCACAAATTTTAAATGAACTTCTTTCTGTGTCTATGGCAGAAATGTTACGAGTGAAATGTTGGTATACCTTTACTGCAGTTTTTTTAATGTGGGATGGATGAATCTAGAAAGTGAGCCACCTGCAGGAAGCCTGGAAATTTCAGTCAGTTGCCTCATTTGTGAAGGAGTTGAAGTGTTAGGCAAAATAAAAAAATGAGAAGAACGAGCTGAAATAGCAACGCAAATAGTGTCCGATTAAATAGGTTGCAGCACCACAAAACGTCACTTACTGCTGATTCAATCAGCCATTGACTTTGACACCAGAAGGGCTAGGCACTTACTTTCATCTAGAGGTATGATTGCTTTGATGTAGAATGAGTTGATTACATCTATGTTATATGCTTTCACATGTGATCCCCATGTACTTTATGTCCATAGATGTCGGACTACGAGGAGATTAAGAGAGCGTCCAAAGAGAGGGCGGATATTGTGGCCAAATATGATCTGGTGAGTTGCTCTCTACTGCTCTGGTCTTGCCTAGTATTCGAACCTGCCTATAGTGGTCACCCAATATCACAGAAAAATGACCGTTATAGACATATGACTGTTATGGGCAGAGTGTTAACTATGGTCACTTACTAGACTTGGTTTAAAATTTGAAATCTTAATTTCATCTTCGAATTAATGTGAAAATGATGGGCTGTGGTGACGTTGGTTGGACAGGGGCCGTTATGAAGTTGAAAATTTAGGAAAAACACAAGGGTTTCAAGGAATAGTGGCTGTGTTAGTACAGGTGACCGCTATGGAGAGGTGATCGTGAGACGAGTGTGACTGTACATTATTTATGATAGGATAGCAGATGCCTTTTGTCATTTCGAGCTGTTGTTGTTTCTATTTTGTTTTAAAGATTGTCCGTTTATTGGCTTATTTCTTGTTTCCAAGTTCTGAACTTGTTTATTGCCTGTTGGTAATCAATATTCGTTGTACTGCAAGGTGAAATTTTATTGATCCATATCTTTGAAACACTTGTTAAATAAATGCTTAGTCTCGCTGGTTGGCCTTTCACACAGTTTTCTTCTACTTCTCTCACTATTACTCTTCCCTTGCTCGCTTGTTTTAATCCCATTTTATACCGTCGAACCTGGTGTAATGGTCACCTGTATAAGACAATCATCTGTACAAACGGTCAACACCCCTTTCCTCCCTGGCGTATGTTTTACTCTATATTACAAAAGAGTAAAATGGCCACGTTTGTCCTCGATAATAGGTGGCTGTCCCAGACAGTTTCGGCTGTATATATTTCACATAAATTATTACCTTGTATTTTTACGACATTTTTGTTATTGGACAATATTGCATTTTCTCTTGTTCTGACTGACTTCCATCTGTCTGTCTCTTTGTCTGCCTACCTGTCCATCCATCTGTCTGAATGTCCGTTCATCTGTCTGTCTCCATATAATCAAATAATGTGGGTCAGGTGTATGGTTTGCGAATAGGCAGGAAGGCCTACCTTTTTTTCTGTCTATCAGCTCACTTTTTGATGGCTAAGCCTTATTGGAAATAGTCTCAATTTTCCTTTTCTTCCTTTTAAAAAAATCTTAGCACCCTTGCATTCAGGTTTGCTTTTTATATAACCGTAACAATATAAGAACTAAAAAAAAAAGTGACCAAAAAAAAAAAGAGGGGGAGTGTAGCATTATTACTGAAATAGTTTCGTGGTTTCAGCAAATGCTTTTTGCCAGTGGTTGGAGTGGGCCACTTCTTGGTCCTTCATCTTTTTTTTTACTTTTATAATCATTTCTGTCTTTCCTGTTTTTTCCCTACACTTAATACCCTTATTGTGTTGATGAGCTTCTCTTTGCTCTAACAAATAGACACCCCCCTGGGGCAGTGCCACTGACTGAAAGTGTCTTAAGGCCTTTCCCAAAGGGGGGACATTTCTCATTTTAGTGCACAATAGAATTGTAAATGGGCTGATCTAACAATGACATGCTCATAACTGTGCCTGAATTACAACAGGGAACTGTTGCTTTTTCTTTCCCAATTCTTACTATCGTCATTTTCCTCTACTTCTTTTGTATGTTTGTCACACTCTTGTGACCGGAAGCAGACTTTGTGCTGTTGAAGCTAGAGAGGTGAGCAGAGTAAGTCTGATTCCCTGTAAGGACTTCTCTGTTGACATCCGCCCCTTGGCGCTCATATGACCTTATGCAGTTACGAGCGCCGTAAAACCTCTACTAAAACGCGAACAAATAGACAAAGAGTGTAATGACCAGCATCTGTGGTGTAGCGGTTCATTTCACAAGTGAAGTGAATTTTTATTGATTATCTCAGTCTTTCTCATGGGTTGTTGTATTCCTCTTTGCCTGGGTTGATCCTGACACAGGCAGGGTAAAAGCCCGCCTCCTCTATGAACCAAATTGTGTCGATGGGAGCCAAAAATACTCACATGAAAAAAAAAGAAAAGAAAAGGAGTCTAATGGGGGTACACTTCCTTTCACAGGGCCGTGAGGAAGGAGCTCAGATTGACCCCTGGGAGGACCCAGCCTTTGAAGTGTATCATGTCACGGACAGATATGGATTCATCCAGTAAGTGGCACCAGTACAGGTGGTTGATTGGTGGTTGATCTGTTGTGATTCGCTCTGTGGAAAAATGATGTACTTTCAAAACAGAATTTGCGAATAATAATGAGAACAAAGCTGATGTGTCAATTGTAGTTGTGTCCGTAATCGTAGTTAGCTATTGAGCTTGAATTTATTGAATGTAGAAAAATGTGTGTGAAGGGTGTGGATGGAGGTGAGGGGTGGGGTTACTAACTTGGCAGTGCCCAACATCTTGACCCACCACGTGGATAGAGTGTTTTTTTGGATTTGAAAAGTTGGCAGCCATGTACCCGCTGTTTTTTACTCCTGTGGGTTAATTGTGGTGTGGGGTTGTTCAGCAGGCACTAAGGGCAGAGGCAGTTATTGTTGAGCTGACTGTTATAGGGACTGAAATGCTAAATTCTAATTTGAAACCTTTTGTTTTATATAGTGACTCTGCTCTGCCAAAGAACGTGGATGCTGCTGAGGAGAAGGTGAGACAAAGTATTCTTTTCATGTTATTTTTGCATCCCTGTAATCGTTTCATTTTCCAGAGTAGGGTTCATACATATATAATGCAAAACCCGCTAAGCGACATTTGGGGGGGAAAAAAAGATTTTTTGCTAGTAAATGCACATTGTTACAAACTATGAGATGCACAAAGTGTTTTTGGCCAAAACCCAACACATACTTCAGAGAAATCACCAAAAAATCTTTTTATGCATATTCGTGCATTTAGCAGCATTTAAAAAAGCTGATTTTCTCAAAAGTTCTAAAATGGAAATGGATGTTGCAGGTTTTGCATCTCAGCCTCTCATATATTATCCATCAACCCTAAATTGGTGCACATTGAGGCCTTTGATTTGCATTTTAATTTTCCAGTTCAAAGATTTTGAGACACTATTTAATTTGTTTTGTATTTGTTTATGTTTGGTGAATGTGTCAAGTTTTTTAAATATGGAATTTGTGATTTGGGTACAGAAATTTTATTCCGTGATTGAATGTGGTCCTTATTGTTTCAAATACAGTATGTCAGTGTTTCTTCAAGTTGATAGATCTATTCTCACCTTGAGGGATTTTGTAGAACTACATTTGTGCAGCATCAGCTTTCTTGTGTGCTCTGCTGTCCATGTCAGTAAACCAGGTAATGCTTTTTTGCTGCTGTGGGTGCTGTAAGCCATTATGATTATGTGTTAGTATTGCAATTTAGTTACCACTCCTGTGTGTTATTTTGTTCAGTTCTGTTCTTAATATGTCACATTCTTCTCTCTCCTTAGGCGAAGCAAGTGGAAAATGAGAGGACAACAAAATGGCTGAAAATGGTGAAATCTTGGGATAAATATTATCCTGGAGAAAAGGTGAAAAAAATTGAGCTTTATTATGTATTGTATTGAAAGAGGAGTAAATGTATATGTTTTTGTATGATAAAGCTTTTGCTGAAAGGGCTTTTTCAGCACATTGGTCTTCTCTTCTATTATCTATTTGTGGTGGCCGAATTTTGCTATTCAAAAGGCTTTTTAATGGCTGCATCGATCGACATGCGGTTTTCGCCAAAAAATTCTTTAAAATATTCTCCAGATCATGACGCCCTTGGTTTTTTTCAGTTTTGAGACAGTTTTGCTGCAAAAAGCTAAATTTCTTTATTTCGCAGATCGCTTTTGTAGGCCGACACTTCTGTCTCTGTAATTTTAGAAAATCCGGAAGTGATATTACGCGAAGCGCATTTTGTTTTGAGAGTATAGATTTAGACCTTCTAATTTTTTGCATCTCTCAAGATTTATTTCCCCATTCCAGTAGAGTAAATATAGTAGGCCAATGACTTTCAGTTGACATTAAAGCACCGATCATTCCTTTCATCGAAAGGGGGCCCAGCTAGTATTTTCATATTTTCAAATGGTACAGTATGCAATCAAACAGCGGTATCTGTGGTACAGTGGTCAGTCGCTTTGCTGCTTCATGCAGGAGACCCAAGTTCAATTCCTGAGTGGGGAGTACATTTTAATTAAGTATTTTGGTTGTTTTGCTTGGATATTGTATCCCTCTGAGCCTGGATTGGCCCTGGTAGGCAGGGTCGGAAGCCCACTCCTAAATTCTCTAAATAGTGATGATGGGGATAAAACCTGCTTTTTAAAAAAAACATTTTAAAAAGCAATTAAACATCTTCCCAGCTAGAGCTCATTCGTTAACCAATAAGAGAAGTAAGAAAGGTCATGGTTCAGCCCCACAGTATTGAGTTTGATTTGGACTAGTAATGGAATTTTTGCATCATTATTTCATCCTGTATTCAGCTTAACCTAAAGTTGAATGAAGAATGTATCTTCCTATCAATTGTACATTTAAAATTGAGGCCTTGCTGCTTGGTAGTTTTATTTTTATGCCCGTATGGTTGCCATGGCTTGTAAGATGCTTAATGTTTATATATGTTAAGCGCATTGATGTGGAAAGAAACTGAACACAGTAGTCTCCGCCTAAGATCCCACCGCTTATGATCCCGGTTCGCTTAAGATCCCGCTGTTTTAAGAAAACAGAATTTTTACTTTACAAAGGTCACCCCTAAGATCCCGTTCTGATTCACTCTGAAGGTCTACATTCGGCTAAGATCCTGCATTTCAGATCATAAATTGCGGAACAAAAGCCCAGGTGGGACAGCCGATCAACCAAGAGTGAAAAGTTGAGATCAATAAACTGTCCGTCGCGTTGATGTTCTGCCACTATCGTGAATGTGGTCACATACACGTTGTAAAACTCGATGTAGTGATACAATGTTTGCCCCAGATGGGATCTCACCGGGGTGTGAACTGACCGACACGTTTGTTTTCCCCGAACATCGCCCTCACTCCTGAGCTCTCCCCCTAAACTTACATCACTCGCTGGGTGGGTAGGACCTACACATTCGCTCCAGGCAGGATCACATTGAACTGTGAACTCTTCCCATACCATTTTAGAAGTTGTCTCTACTCCCAAATTTGCGAGACAGACTGAATTTTAATTGGTGTGTTCACAGCGTAATGGTGTGTAACGACAAAGGCGGGTGGGGAGGGGGGGGGAACTTGGTCAGAGAAGGAAAGCTATACATTTTCAACGGGTAAGGGGGAGGGGCAACTAGATAAGCGTAGATCTTGACTCATGATAGGATAATAAGTGAAAATGGCACGCCTCATCCCACTATGCACTGTGATAGGTCATCAAGATTAACCACTCTTTGCTCGCCATACATCGTAAGCCCACCAAGCGATCACGTCAGTTCATTTTAGAGTGGAGGGAGACCATTTTATTGATTGTGGCCTTACCACGGGTCACCATAGATTCTTCCCTGGGTTCGTCTGTTAAAATCCCGGTTCGCCTAAGATCCCGCATTTCCTTGCTCCCAAGCCTCTTCGGCGGAAACTACTGTAGTTGTTGTGTCTATTTGTTGATACAAATTATGGTTTAATTTAGACAGCTCTCAGAAAATTATATGATTTCTTTATTCTCAGGGTCCCCACCAGGTCGGGAAATCGGGAAAAAGTCGGGAATTTTTAGATGGGTCGGGAGGTCGGGAAAAAGTCGGGAATTTTGTGATGGGTCAGTAAGTCGGGAAAGGATTAGGCCTGTGTAATATAAGTAGTGTAGCTATCCATGGTTGATGAATCATGAAGAGGAAACGTAATTGAATCACTGTGGCGGCAGGCGGAAGTGTATGTGTGACACCGAGGCTCGATCGGGGAAGAATCAAGATCTTCTTTCGCTTTCGTTACCACCCAGAAATTTTCCGGTAATAGTCTGAAAGAGAACGCAACATTTGTAGCATGCAGGTTGTGCATAACGGACGCTGTGTCGCCTTGAAAATAAATCAATACTAAAAATGTGTCCTCTGCTGTCACTTGTGAAAAAAGAAAAGAAAGTTATACAAGCGTCTTATCACGTTCGCCATCGTGGCCGGTCAATGAACCTGTGAGTGTGAGTACCGGCGGTCTGAGCGCTGTGAAGTATACCGTAGGACTCCGAAATGGGGGGTGGGGGGGGTATTGCTTTTTTTTATAAGATACACTCAGGGAAGGGAATGGTGGGGGGGGGGGGGGGGAAGGCAACGCTAGAGGTCAAAAACTTACTTGTAAGCAAATTTTCAGTATTTAGAATTTTGAGAACGGGCTTACAATAAGAGCTCCCTGCAAAGTGCGCGTTGGTGCAGGCCTTGTGTGGAATCGGGACCCGTCATGCCTTGTTATTGAACTAAAGTGTTCGCGTTTCATGGGATGGGTGATTGTAATTTATATATCTATATTTTAACTTTCTTTTCAAGATTGGCAGATTTTCATTGTCACTGCATCTTGCCTTCCCTCAGTTGTTACACCTCTCTCCCTGAATAGGTCTAATTGAGCCATTCAAGTTATTACACTAATATTACTCTACTTTGAGTTTGGGCAATAGTTTTTGTCTTCACGTTTATTATATGAATCACGACACCCAGACTGGTTATTGACAATCGATTATTATCTAGTTCTAGGTCTTTTCTCAGGCTAACAACAGGATTCATTTTTTAATAGGGCCTATAGTTTATGTAGGCTAATATGATGAGGGGAAAGTATAAATAAGTAAGAACAGACTGAAATACCAAAGTCACACAAGATCCCAGTGCCACACTGACATGTTGTTGACTGGATATGGTGTACCTCCATGTGTGTGTGTGTGCGTGTGTGTGTGTATTCACAAACATATACAGATATATTAGATATAAATGGAGCATGTGCTGTCATTGTTATGTAACATGCCCCTGGAAAATGGATGAGGCCCCTCCCTTGGAAAATTGAGAAGCTGGATTGGTAGTCACCCAGCATTATAATCTTCTATTGTTTGAAGACTATACTACAAAATGTACATTTGCATTCATTTAAAGACATTTTGACTTTTTATCATTGATAGATAAGGTTTTTTTGGATCATTCTTGACGCACAGCGGCCTGATTTTTCCCTTGAATTGGAGTCTTGAAAAAAATTTGGGGGTCTTGAAAAAAATTTCCAGGATTTGGTGGGGACCCTGTATTCTGGACTCATAGTTTTGTTTTGAGGCACCCTCACTTTGATTGATTCTTTTATGGCCAAATCATTCTTTCTTCCTTGTTTTAGCTGACAAGACGAGTGTACAAAGGTATTCCTGACTGCTTGAGGGGAGAGGTTTGGTCAAAGCTGCTGAATATTCCCAAAGTGAAAGCGGAGCAGGAGAATATCTATGAGGTATGTACTTAATCCTTTGATTTTGTTTTAGTTGAAGGAATGATGTAAGGAGGGTTTCGAAGATTGTTCCTTTCTTGAGGAATTCCTTATTTGGAAATTGCAGGAAAGTTCCTAACCTCACATTTCTCAAGTGTGGAGATTTATTTTGGGAATGTATGACCTTTGAAAGCATCAATACATATATATCTGATTTGTCTTTTCTCTTTTCAGAAAATGCGTAACCGTGCTCGAACCAAGTCCACATCTATTCGGCAAATTGATTTAGATGTCAACAGAACCTACAGGAACCACATCATGTTCAGAGAAAGATATGGGGTCAAGTATGTGTCTCAGATTGCTTTTGTTTGGGTGGCCACATGCTGTCTTATGTTTTGTGTTGTACATTTATGTAAAAGATAATCTGTTCAGCCTCATTATCTTTGATTTTTTAAAAGTGTTGGCTAAACTGAATATCAGTATTGTATCTTTTTGTGTTTGAGAGGGGGGAGGGAAGGGGAGAGAGAGAGAGAGAGAGAGAGAGTCATTGTGGGGAGACATCAGCATTTCTACTGATAGAGATTCAAAACGCTTTGAAGCATCAGTTTGACCTGGTGGCTCTAACAAATTTATGGTTCTCCTACTCCCAACTCTCCATCAAAATTACAGCTAATGGCTGATGTATTTTCTATCTCAGGCAACAAGCTCTTTTCCATGTTTTGGCTGCATACTCTGTGTACAACACGGAGGTTGGCTACTGTCAAGGCATGAGTGAGATCGCTGCTCTGCTGCTCATGTATCTGAATGAGGAGGTCAGTTTTTTGTCAGCCACCTACATTTGAAAGTATTTTTTACAATTTGAATATGTGCTCCCTTCCCTTCATCTATTGACTGCTTTGCTTCCTCTTGGACAGTAATATAAGAATAGCTCCGTCTTTGCTTTTGCAATATTCGAGTCCATTCTGTTTCCAGCGCCTTTCAACACGAACCAGAAGCTTCATTTTCAGTTCTGTTTAACATCACTTTTTCCTGAGTAAACAGTTTAGTTGATTCTCTTGGTTACGATGTGAGGGTTATAAGTGTTGTTTTTTTCAGGGTTTTCTTTCGTATCGATTCTTTTTTTTTTCTGTAAAAGAAGGGAAAAGTTTGGGGATGGG